GCATTATCCTGTTATGCCATGGTGGCTCACCCTGGTTTAGGCTTCTTTAGAGGAGACGAAACCTAAAGCCCCAGGTTCTCCAACATGGGAATCTAGAAGGAATGACATCCAAGGATAGTACCACTTAGTGTGAATGACTTGGCAATAAACCTGCCCTGCTGAGGGAAGGTAGGGAGAGTAAGAGGAAAGAGGAGGTAGCAGACAGGAAGGAGAGGGAAGGAAGGGCTGAAGTGGGGTACAGGTGGTCAAGCAGGCACTCATGCGATTCTGTAGTCATGTTTGCATTCAAAGTGCCTCAGGAAGCCGCTTGAACTTGGAGGTGAGCCAGGTGCCTGGCAGAGCCAGCAAAAACCATTTCTGCAGGAAGACATCCCCATTCTGAGCGGCAGGAGACACCCCAAAATCATTTTGTTAAAATGGTTAATTTCATTTATTTGAAAGAGTGATGAAGAAACAGGCAGACACACACACACACACACACACATATTCACTGGCTCACTCCTCTCCCCCAAATGCCTGCAGTGACTAGGACTGGAACAGGTTGACACTAGGAGCCTGAAACTCCATTTGGGTTTTCTGATGGGTGGCAGGCCTCACACCATGAGCCATCACTTGTTGCTTCCAAGGGTCTACCGATGCCAGCTTGGCTACCTATGTGATGTCATCATATGTGGCAGATTTTTCCAGAAGGCAGATCAGGTGCACAACTGACACATTAGGGTGGGCACATGAAAGATGCAGGCTGTGTGTTTTGCATTCAGGTCGGGGATGACCTTGTCTACAGCTAGGCAGCTCCGGTAAACGTGTGGATTATTCTGGACAGCCCTGTGACTCTCATACCGGTTTCCCAGAGGGTCCCCCACAGTCTTGTGGTGGCAGTGATGGCATGGCCTCTGGTTATGAGTCCTTCCACAAGCCCAACGTTGTCAAGGATGACCTTGGCTGGGGGTTGCGGAGCAGATGGTGCAGGAGGCTTTGCTGATGATCTTGAAAGAATTGTTATCCTTCTCATGGTTCACACTTATCACAAACAGGTACTGACAGATGGGCAGAAATAAGCCCCTTGTGGCTCCACTTTGCAACATGGCCCCAAGGAGATTTTTCTGAGTCTCCCATGTGGGTGCAGAGTCCCAAGGCTTTGGGCCGTCTTCCTCTGTTCTCCTCAGATCTGGCTGTCATGTATGTGGGCAGGTGTAACTGCTGGCCAGTCTGCTCCCAGCCCAAGTTGTCTCATGAACCAGTGGATGCTGCAGCTTAGTAGAAGACACTCCTCAGAAGCCCCACTGTGCCTGCCCCCAGCCCTGGCTCTTGTACATTCCTGTCAGGGGTTGCAGTCCAATGTGGCCCAGCCAAGCACTAGCCCCAGCTCTCATGTGTGTCAATCAAATAAAATTTTCAAACCCTTAGTGAATTTTTTGCTTTGATCAGTATACTGTTCAACTCCAAAATTTCATTTTAAGTTTTTTCATTTTGTTTTTAGATTTATTTATTTGAAAGGCAGAGAGGCTCAGAGAAGGAGTGATGGGGAGAGAGCGTTTTCCATCTACTGGGTCACTTCCCAAACGGTGGCAGTGGCTGTGCCAGGCTGATGACAGGATCCTAGAACTCTGTCTGGGTCTCCCACTTGGATTCTCTGCTGCTTTCCCAGGCACATTGGCGGGGAGCTGGATTGAAAGTGGAGCAGCTCAGACCTGAACTGGGCCTTGGATGTGGGATGGCTGCATTGTACCTCGCTGTGTCACAATGTTGGCCCTGATTGTTTTTATGCTTCCTGTTTGTGGGTGTTCTGTTTGGTGAGCAACTGCTATCATGTCTCCCTTTACTTCTTTTAAACATGGTTTTCTCTTTTCCTTTAAAAAAGCACCTTTGCTTCCAGATTTAGCAAGCAGTCTGTGTGTGCCCTGGAGAACTTGAGTCTGTTTGATATCTCACCCTGTTTGGTGCTAAGTGGGTACAGCCCGATCCATACAGTCTCCTGAACTGCTGCAAATAAGCAGGGTTCCAGGAAAGCTCTTTGCGGTGTCTTTCTCCAGGTTTCTGTTAAACGTGTAACTTGTCTACCATTTGCTTTTTTTCTACTGATATCGCTGAGCTACCATGCCTTTAGCTGTTTCCTGTCAGAATCTGCTCTTTTTGATAATCTCCTTAGGCACAAGTCTCTCCATCTTTTTTTTTTTTTTGAAGGCTTATTTTTATTGGAAAGTCAGATATACATATTCAGAGAGGAGGAGAGACAGAGAGAAAGATCTTCCATCCAATGATTCATTCCCCCCCAAATGAGCGCAACGGCCAGTGCTATGCCGATCCGAAGCCAGGAGCCAGGAACTTCTTCTGGGTATCCCACACGGATACAGGGTCCCAAAGCTTTGGGCCACCCTCCACTGCTTTCCCAGGCCACAAGCGGGGAGCTGGATGGGAAGTGGAGCTGCCAGGATTAGAACCGGCACCCATATGGGATCCTGGCATGTTCAAGGAGAGGACTTTAGCTGCTAGGCTACGCCGCCGGGCTCTCTCCATCATCTATACAAAAAAGGCAATGCCCCCAAGCAGGGCCACCTGTTCTCAGCATGCCTTTTCCCTGCTCTCATGTAACTACAGCGGTAGCCCTTGCTGGGGAGTGGTTGGCAGCTCCTCCTCTTCTCAGTCTGCCCTCCTGATACACAGCTTCCTCCTTATGAGCAGTCTAGACAGGTGCCACTGAACTCCTACAACTGTCAGCCTGGTACACCTCCAGCAGGAACCAAGGATGGAGGCAGCCTGTTTGCTAGAGCTAGAGGGCTTCCATTTGCTGGTTCACTCCTTCCCCAGACAGCTACAACAGCTGGCACTAGTCCAGGCCAATGCCAGCATTCAGGATCTCCATTTGGGTGTGATGTGGAAGCACAGGGCCAGGCACTTGCATCATCCTACTTTCCCAGGAGCATGAGGTAGGAAGTAAGTAGTGCAGTTGGGGCTTGACCCAGAGCTCATACCGGACAGCACATGCGGCAGCTTAACTTGCTGTCAGAAGGCCAGCCTCATCTGTTCTCCCTGTGCCCTTAGGGACAGCTGCAGAGGCCTCACGTGGTCTGGTTGATATGCAGTGAACATCTGACGGTGGGGATGTGTTCTGAGAAATGTGCCAGGAGGCGATTTCACTGCATGTGAGCAGCACAGATTGTACCTAAACAAAACCTAGAGGCCGGAGCTCAGTCGTCTGATGTGGTGTCTTGATGGAATCCAGAGATGCAGTGACCTCCGGGTGCAGAGGCTTCCACCACTGTGCTCAACACAGTTTCACAGTAAACTGCTGTTCTTGTTGATTTAATATTGTATGTAATACATTCAAACTGATGAAAAACTCTAGTGAATACCCGCTAACAAAGTCACTTATCATCATTAGTATCCTCCATTATGTGCTGTATTTTTGCTTATGTATAACATTTTATTTTTTAAAAAACGATTGTTTTTTAATTGGAAAGTCAGATATACAGAGAGGAGAGACAGAAAAGAAGATCTTCCGTCCAGTGGTTCACTCCCCAAGCTGCCGCAACAGCTGGAGCTGAGGTGATCTGAAGCCAGGTGCCCAGAGCCTCTTCTGGGTCTCCCATGTGGGTGCAGGGTCCCAAAGCTTTGGGCCGTCCTCGACTGCTTTCCCAGGCCACAAACAGGGAGCTGGATGGGAAGCAAGGCCGCTGGGATTGGAACCGGCTGTCATATGGGATCCCAGCGTGTGCAAGGTGAGGACCTTAACCACTATGCTACTATACTAGCCTGATTTATTTTACTTGAAAGAGTATTATGGGGCCTGGTGGCATGGCCTAGCAGCTAATGTCCTCGCCTTGAATGCCCCAGGATTCCATATGGGTGCCGGTTCTATCCTGGCGGCCCTGCTTCCCTTCCAGCTCCCTGCCTGTGGCCCGGGAAAGCAGTCGAGGATGGCCCAAAGCTTTGGGACCCTGCACCCGCGTGGGAGACCCGGAAGAGGCTCCTGGCTTCGGATCGGCATAGCACTGGCCGTTGCGGTCACTTGGGGAGTGAATCATCAGACAGAAGATCTTCCTCTCTGTCTCTCCTCTCTGTATATCTGACTTTCCAATAAATAAATAAATCTTAAAAAAAAAAAGAAAGAGTATTATGAAGTAGAAAATGACAAAATGAACACCATCACATTTTTTATAAGATCAAGAACCAACTTTCAGACACTCAGCGCACATCAGACCCGAATCTTCCTGGATTTTTGTGTTGCGTAGCTTATCAGTTTATCATACTGTATGCTCTTGGAAAATCAGGGAGGAAAATGTGATGAATGCTGCCATGCTTAAGTTGCATCAATAGGCTTAGTGCTCCCCAAATGTCTCTCATGCCATCCAAGGTGGCTTTAGGCCACTGCCAACCTCAGAGCTCAAAGTATTATTCTGATAGCAATGATTGCGTGTGTGTTTCTCTGCTGTTGCCATCACCTTTTCAGAAACACAGAGGTTTTCTGGATGCCCTGATTTGCTAAGATATTCAAAGTACAAAGATGGAACAGGTGTCATCTCTGGCCTTCAGGGGCTTGTATCCTTGGTGGGAGGGAAGGCAGATCCGAGTAAGCTAGAAATAGGACAGAGCCAACCTCTGCCAAGAAGAATGACCTCCAAAAGGGCCCTAACACCACTGGCCTCCGGGTCTGCTGTTCACATGTTAAAGCTTGGTGCTACACGTCAGATACAGAACAGTGAGCTCTGAGAGCACTTGGGAGGCCGCAGGAAAGAGAAGAGGAGCTAGGAGGAGACCTGGATCTGGCTGAAGGCTTTCTGGAAAGAGCCGTGTGACACCATTTCACGGCTGTCATTTGCTGGAACTCACACTGCACACAACAGCGCATGCCAGAAAGTGTCTGCAGACTGTCAACATTTAATCGTTATGTCACACATCATGCCTGGCAAGAGATTCTGTTTTGAATAACTTTATTGTAAATCCCATAATCTTTAGGTTTTACATAACAGGAAGTTTAAAAGCTGTGAGTACCAACTCTTCATTATCTTACATAGTTTTGAAAACTCAAGTTCGTGACACGTTAATTGCACTTCAAAACTTAAATATGCAGTGAAAAGAAAGCCATGTTTATGAAGACATCTTTCAAAGGGAGTTTTACATCTGGACTGGCCCTGATGACTACACAAATTCCAAACTATCTTCCAAACTAAACTCTAAGGACTTTTCACTCTCCCTGGGACCAAAGTCGTCCAAAAGATGCAAGGATTCAGACAGACAGGACTCGCACTGAGAAGCATAGGTGGCAAGTTTCAGTATGGCTGGTGGAAGCCAGAACAACACTGCCTGGCGGAGAAAGAAAATACACAAAGCTATGGTGAGATGCCACACAGCCACCGGGCCGTGCAGCCTTCAGATGTCCTTGCCGCAGTCGGGACACAGGATGTCATCCCTCTCGGTGAGGAAGCCTCGGCCCACCAGGGACAGGGAGCACTTCTTGCAGTTGAAGCAGTCGTTGTGCCACTGCCGTTCCTCGAAGGAGATGTACTTTGTGCCACCGATTCCTGTAGACGGGGAGTGAAATGACATCGAATAAACAGAGAGAGGGGATGTTAGCTGGTTAGCAGAGGAAAACCGTGACCCCACAGGAGTCCTGCTGGGGTCCCTTTCAAAGTCTTGGTTGTGTTACTTTTATGTGGATGGATGCTGAGGGTATATATACAAGTCAGATCCTGTATGCCACCCAGAGGAGCCCACTGCTGTGGGAAGAGATACAGAACCTGGCAGTAACAATGTGTATGAAGGGCTGCCGTATTTGTTTCCTTGTCTATTGTAGACTTTTCCACATGAAACAGATGAGGGACTAGCTTCCTCCTGCCCTTACTGGGTGTGCTGCATCCATAGCCCACATGTTTTAAAGCTTTAATGAGTGAACAGCTGGAAGGGAGTGTAGATGAAGAATGAGACATCATCTTCAATGCGGATGCCCTGAAGGGCCCCAGAAAATGATACGGCAGTAAAGATCTGGACACAAACTCTAGGAGCACCAACCCAGGTGGTGGGGTTGGATGGGGTGAGCATACAGCGGGGCTGTGGACTGAGAATGTCCAGGCAGTGCACAAAACTATAGGATAATTTTACACAAAGAAAGTGCTATTTCATTCTGAGTGCTTCACTTGTGTTTGATCCCTAACTCCCATCAGATGTTTTGGTTACACTGGTCACTGATAACCATAGCAAGGGCAGTTGGGTTGTGCTGATGTTGGTCACTTGGAATAAAACAGAAGCAAATACATCTGTGAGTCCCAGAATGCTGATTGCTTCTGTTGGAACAGGGGTCATGGATGACAATCTCACAGAATTCCTTTCAGAAGGAAAGTCTTAATCACATGAAAACGAAGCAGTCAGGGTGGCGGGGAGGGTGGTAGGGGGAATCCTTGAGCCTAAGGAACCATATCACGAAAATTAACACAAAAAAGACAAAGCAGTCACACCAAGTGCTCCATTTCTAATATCTGAGGGCTCCGACTGACACTAGGAGCCTGGAATCCACCTGTCAGCTTCCTTGTTTATGGATCTGAAAGGCAGAATGACAGGGAGGGAGGGAAGGAAGTAAGGAAGGTGAGAAAGAGGAAAAAGTCTTCCATCCACTGGTTCACTCCCCTAAAAGCCACAATAGAAGAGGCTGGTCCAGCTGAAGCCAGGAACTCAAGCTTGGTCTCCCCCACCCACGTGGGTGGCAGGGCCCAAGCACTTGCCCATGCGAGTGTCTTCACAGGCCAGCGGCGGGAAGTTGGGAAGAAAGTGCCGCAGCCAGGACTCGAACCGGCTCTCAGATATGGGACACTGGCATTGGGCTGTCCTTCCCATTGCTCCTTAGTTATCTAGGCTGGTGTTGGGTCCTGCACAGAGGGAGACCTTAGAGCTAATCTTCCTCCCCCAGTTGGTGGCAGGGCTGGGATGTGAACCTAGCTCCTGTGCCTTTTCTAGTATGCCATTGACTGCTACTGATGGAACAGCTCTGTGTACTGGTAAAGCTTTGCAATTCTCTTTTCCTAAGCATCATACAGCTTTAAGGAAAGTTATGCTGAAGTAAGCTATTTCTAGAATTCCCATTGCCTTTATGCCTGTTAGATTCCTAAGGGTCCTGAAGATCAAGAACTCACAAGGTCTGGGTGTCTGCCATGCAAGGGCGCAACCCAGTGGTTTAGACTAGTGGGTCTAACTTCTCTGCTTGTTTGGGAAACTGAGAAGTTCCTAACACCCATCACATGTTCTAACCAATCAGGGTGCAGGCATCTGCCCTGTAGAAAACTCGCTAGGTCCTCCAGTGAGTGGGCAAGTGGGAGGAGCAGTGGTGACGTAAGGGCAGAGCTGCCACAGGGTCGGAAGCCCAGGTCTTACCGCGAGTCAGCTGCTGAGCCTGGGAGAAGCTGCTGGGATGCCCTGCCATTCCGTCTTTCTAACTTTGCATCAGTTATTGCTATGGAGCTGGGGGCAAGGAGGAGACTGGCAGAGGGGCAGAGAAGGGTGTTAGTGACAGGGGCCATGAAAGGCAGGTGCTCCAGGAGGGAAGTCCCCTGTCTCCATGTTTTACTCTCAGATACCAGCAAGGTGGTGTAAGTGAGAAATAAGAGCCAGGCCGTCCGAAGGGGAGGTGCCCCCAGAGGGAAGAGATACACACAGTGGACTGTGGTTATTCATGGTCGTTTTGTTCTGTGATGACCCCATGGACACTGAACTAACAAAGACTGAACCACTGTTCCAAAGAGAAACACAGGCTTACAGTCTTCTAAGCCTCTCTTATCAATGTTTTCATCAACAGAGCCATGCACACTTTGGCTTCCTGTGTTTTTAAAGACACCCCATTCAGTGAATGTTGATTCATCCTCATTGAAGTGATGGTCAACGGTACCGTGTGATTCATGCTAGGGTGAAGCTTATCCAACAAGTGCTTTCTCAGTAAAACACATCAGTTTTCCACTCTGGGACACTGGGTAGAGCTCTGCTTGGGGGTCACTTCAAATACAGAAAGACCCTGACTTGCCCTGCAAAAAACACAACTCAGAAATATGCAAAAAGTTAGTAAATTAACTGTTAAAAGGATTCCTATATTCCATGAAAGCTGTAAAGAGGTCTTGCATTACCGTCAACTTGGAACGTGACCTGTGAACTTGGTTCTTGGCTTAAGAAAGTGGAAGTCAGGGATAAGCCTCTAGCAGGTGTCTGGGTCATTTTGTTTCAAAGTTGCACAGGAGTGCCCTGGGACCAGCTGCCCGTCCTCCATGTGTATGCCACTTTGCCACTTTCCTTCAATAGGGCTGGGAGGAGTCACTGGGTGTGACAAGGTTATGATTGTCACATCAGGGGACCTTCCTTTGACTGATGTCAAACTCACATGTTCTTCCCCTCATCCAGACACTGATTTATATGTAAAGCCATGTGTTCTCTGCACTGAACAACACCAGTTTAGTCCTGGGGCCACTGTATGCTCTAGTAGGTTTAGCTGCCATCTATGATACCAGCATCCCACACGGGCCCCATGTTGAGTCCTGGCTGCTCCATGTTCAATTCAGCTCCTTATCAGTGGCCTGAGAGAGAAGCAGAAGATGGCTCCAGTGCTGGGTCCCTCTTCCACACGGAAGACCTGGAAGAAGCTCCTGGCTTCAGCCTGGCCCCACCCCGGCCAACTGCTACCATTTGGGGAAGTGGACAGCATCTGTGAGCCCTCCCTAGTTCTCCGTCCTTCCTCCTCCTTCTGTAACTCTGACTTAACTAAGTATTTAAACATGACACCAAAAAAGTTTAGTTCCATTCTGCAGGGTCTCTCAGCCAGCACTGATTTCGCTTTGCCAAACTTTGCCTTTCCCTTTCCCTGCATGTAGCCATGGCCTTGTGGTGGAAACAACTCTGTACGTGCCACAGGGCACTTCCAAGAACCCAGGACGGCCTGTGACCTAAAAAGCATTGTTATAATGATATGGTTGTCAGAGCCAAAGTCCAACTCAAAGCAGAACCGCAAGCCAGGCTGCATGGCTCAGATGAGGTGGGCCGCAGGGCAAGCAGTCAGCTCCCTGCCAAAGCCTATCCTGTGTGCAAAGCAGTGGGGCAGGAACCTCCACAGGCAGAGCCCTGGAGGCTCCAGAGCCTCTGGGAACATACACACAGCCCTGTGTGCAAGCGCCAGCCTCGTTCCATATCCACCCCGCCATGGGAAGCCTGGCCCCTGGGGTACCCATGTTCATCAGCCTTGCCCCATCTCCACCGCGCCACAGGAAGCCTGGCCCCTGGGGCACTCACCACTGATGGGGTTGGTGCAGCCCGCACACTTCTTGGCGTACAAGTCACAGAAGCAGCTCAGGCAGTAGGCGAAGTCGTCCCGGGCCGTGAAGCGCTGGCCCGACAGCTGCTTCTTGCAGGCGGTGCACACAAAGCACTCCCGGTGCCAGGGCTGCTCACGGTAAGTGACCCCTCCCGTGGTGATGGGCTGCAGGAGGCAGGGGCAGCACAGTGTTAGGGCATCCTCAGCCAGCATCCGCTGGCTCTCCTGTCACTACAGGGCAACAGCCGCATCTTCGCCCAGAAAACCGGCAGGTGGTTCATGTCACCGAGGCACTGCCTTCTCCATGTCCCTTCAGCCCCTGGCGAGGCTTCCAGGGACTCTCTCTCCAGCACCCCAAACCCTGGCTTTCCTGTGAGTGAAAGTGCTCCTCGGGTTTCTGCCTGCAGCCCTGTCTGGGGGTATGGGAGAACCTGAGGCAGGGCTGCCCGGGACAGTAAGGGAAGGGGGCAGGCGTCTCCAGAAACAGGGAGGCAGCATAGTGGAAGGGCTCATGACCAGAACCACTCTAACAGCGTGGGTTTGAATTCTACCCGTTTCTTATCAGCTCTGAGGCTGGGAAGTCACTGTTAGGGAGCTTCCAGCCTCAGTTTTCCCATCCGTGCAATGGGCATGATGACCAAGGAGCATCACAGTGCTGGTGTCTTTGAAACAAGGACGGGAACACAGACCACAGAGCCAGTGCCTGAAATCCAGAGACACAGCAGTGTTGTACATACAGGGTGGGGCGGGAATAACCCTCCCACCTTCCCTGCCATCCAAGCATGACAGGTGTGTCGGCCCTTTCTGAGCGGGAGCTGACCACCAGGGCCGTGCAGTCTGACTGATGAGAACCTGCATGGCCCAATGAGAATATGTATACCTTCTTGCACTGGACACACTGCAGGGCGTACTGCTTCTCATAGCAGGGCACGCAGAAGTTCTGGTTATCTTTGGGGATGAAACTCTTGGTTCCAATGGGCTGCTGGCAGCGGTGGCAGGTGAAGCAGGTCTCATGCCAGCTGCTGCCCTTGTATTCCATCTTGCGGGTTCCTGTGGGCAGGCAAGGAGAAACAGCAGTGTCTTTGTTAGCCTGGGTGAGTTCCGGGCCCACCACGTCTCGTTCTGTCTCCAAAAGCAAACCCCTTCAGCTCTTGAAGACGTAGCTCCCGGTGGGAACAGCTCCGCCTCGTGGAGGGCAGTGGCTGTGTCTTTTGAGTCACTGCTGTGACACCCTGCTTCTAAGAACACACAGGCCACACTTAGCTCTTGTTTTCCAACTGGGGTGCTCAAGAATGTTGAATTGTAGAAAGACCTGCGTGTGTCAGCATTGCAAAGTTGGGAGAGAAGTCTGGACTCACGCTGGCTCTTCTAAGAGCGTGTGAGTTGGGGAACACAGGACCCTACCAGCTCTCAGAGCAGAGCAGCTGAACCCTTGTGTAGTTGTGGACAGCCACGGACAGCTCCAGTGCACAGCACAGTGCATGCGGTGGGGTAGGGGCCGGAAGGTCGGTCAGAAGACACTGGGGCAGTGAGCCGGGATCATCCCCCGCACACCTGATCACTCTCACTTGAGGCCACGTTCTCAGCATCCTGCATATTCTCCCAGGAGCCAACACAGAGGCTCCACCTTCCACAGGCATGTGCTTGGTGGTGTGTGAGTGTGTTCAAAACCAAGGGTGCAATCTGTGGGATTCAACCCGGGGCGACGAATCCTGAAAGGAAACTTACACGAAGCAAGTGAAATCCAGGAGCTGGGGTGGGAGGGGACTGCAGGAGGATTCTGATGTACACTTTAGAATGATTCTAGTCTTAGGCCTCTAGGGGTTCCTTGCTCCATGGACTTTCTGCACTCAGATCAATAGCCCTGCATCCACAGGGCTTTGCCGATGAATCTGGAGCAGTGAGGACTCTCACTCAGCGTCTTATGAAATAAGTCTGATGTCAGTCCCAGGGCTGGGAGAACTGCACACGCAGAAGATGCATCAGAGGCACCAGTGACCACGGGTCTGCAGCGCGATCATATGATCCGGCCAACAGGTGGCAGCAGAGCTCCTTCTGCGAATGAGCGAGCCGCTCAGAGCAGTCACCAGCAGAGGGAGGGCCCGGTCTTGGAGACGCACTAGGCAGATGGAGCCAGAAGCTGGAGTGCGGGTCTAGGGACAGCGCCCCTCCTTGAGCATGCTGTGTGTGGGGGCGGAGCTAGGGACAGCGCCCCTCCTTGAGCATGCTGGGGGGGGTAAGGGACAGCGCCCCTCCTTGAGCATGCTGGGGGGGGGGTTAGGGACAGCGCCCCTCCTTGAGCATGCTGGGGGGGGGAGTTAGGGACAGCGCCCCTCCTTGAGCATGCTGGGGGGGGGTAGTTAGGGACAGCGCCCTTCCTTGAGTACACTGTCACACTGCTGCGACAGATCTTTGCTCAGGAGGCTCAACTTCTAGACAGTAAGAAGTGGTGACCTCAGGCCCTGCGCCATGGCCTTAGCGCCTAAAGTTCTCGCCTTGAATGCTCTGGGATCCCATATGGGTGCCGGTCCTAATCCTGGCAGCTCCACTACCCATCCAGCTCCCTTCCCTTAATCCTTAGCAGAAGAGACCAGATGACTGAGCTCCTTAACGTCCAGTGCAGTTCATCCCGTTAAGAGTTGCACTAAAGCTTTGGAGTGTGACTGACTGCTTCCAAGCCCTCCTATTAAAATGGGAGCGCTCCAGGGTGCGCCATGGCTAAGCACACCAACAGCTCCCCTTTCCCATCAGCCTCGTCTATTCAGAAGGGCTCCGCCACAGTGGCTGTGGCAGACGCCAGGTTTTCACCCGCACTTCCCCAGCTCTGCCCCACTGCACCTGACTCAGGGAGAATTCTGGGAAGGGTTTCTTTAAAGAGAACAATTGGGGCCCGGTGCCATGGCCTAGTAGCTAAAGTCCTCGCCTTGTATGCGCCGGGATCCCATATGGGCCCCGGTTCTAATCCCAGCAACTCCACTTCCCATCCAGCTCCCTTCTTGTGGCCTGGGAAAGCAGTCGAGGACGGCCCAAAGCTTTGGGACCCTGCACCCACGTGGGATACCCGGAAGAAGTTCCTGGATCCTGGCTTCGGTTATGCATAGCATCGGCCATTGCGCTCACTTGGGGAGTGAATCATTGGACGGAAGATCTTCCTCTCTGTCTCTCCTCCTCTCTGTATATCTGACTTTCCAGTAAATAAATCAATCTTGAAAAAAAAGAGAAAAGAAAACAAGTGAAGCTTCAATCTATGGAAGCTAGGAACTCAAAGTCCTCCACTTCAGCTCTTTCTACAATCCCGTTCACCGAGGTAATGAATTTGAAAATTCACTGCGGTGCCTGAGCCCTTGTGTTAGCCGGAGGGACAAGGGCACATAGGAATCAGAACAGGTGGCTGTCCACAGCTGATCCCAGTGTGGCCCAGGCTGGCCTGGCTCAGTGCCCCTGGCTGGGCCGCCGCTGCCCCCCGCAGGGAAGGGCTGTGAGTGCTGACCTGGCATGATGGTCTTCTTGCATTCCTGGCACTTGGACGAGTACTCGTTGGAATAGCACTCGGTGCAGAGCAGCTGTTCTTCCTTGGCTGCGAAGGGCTTGTCCACCAGCGAGCTCCTACACTGCGAGCAGTGGAAGCAGGCCTCGTGCCAGTGGCGGTCCTTGTAGGACAAGTCCTGTGGAGCCAGACACACATGAGACAGTCAGAGCCAGGATGGACAGAGCATGCACGGCACAGAAAAACCCGCAGGGGCAAGCAAGGCAGGTGGGCGCAGGCCAGCGGACAGCACTGCAGCTGAGATGGCCAAGCCAGTCTACTCTGTTCCTGCTGTGTGTGTGTGTGTAGTGGTCCCAGATGTGTGCAAGCACGAGGCAGAGATGATGTTGAAAAAACAAAGGGATTTCCTAGCAAGGAAGGGAAACGGAAGCCGTGGGCGGGCCTCAGTGGTCCATGCACCACAGTCAGCAGGCAGGACCCAGACAGTGGACCCTTCACAGGGGGAAAGCATAGTGGCCTTGGAGAGCCCTGGTGTCGGGGACACTCAGGGAGGAGCCAAAAAGACGGTCCACGTGAGCCCGCGAGACTTTTCTAGCAGGTGTCACCAGCTAAGCCTGGAGCACCTGCGCATGGAAGTTGAGCCAGGCAACGGGTACAGACAGGGACCGGGGCAGAGCAGGGCAGCAGTGTGGGTGCTGGGGGAGGGAGGGACAGGTGAGGGATGCAGAGCTCCAGCACACCAGGGTCTAGGGCTCCCTGGCAGCAGAGGCAGGGGACTCAACTACCCCTGAAGTCCCTGGAGGGGGGTGTGTGACCGAGGCGGAGGGATAAGTGAGGTGGTGGTAGCGAGGGCCCAGCTGCAGAGAGAAAAACAGGGCTTCAAAGACATACTCCAAATTTTGTTAGTCGAGGCTCAAGCAGGAATGACCTGAGAAAGCCAGAGGTGGACTCCATACCACCCCCGTGGTCATGCCTGAGGGTGAATCAGAGAACGTTTCCTGTTTGTTTTGAAAGTGTTTCTACAAGCATGCAGCAGCAGCCCACGTGTGTCCTGCTGGACTCTCAAGAGGATATTTTTCTGTTGCTGTCCTTCGCATGTCCAACTGTGATCCTGGCCTAGTGGCTGTTTATTAACGGGGCGGGGGCCTAGTGTGATGACGTTGCAGGTCTCCGGGGCTGCAGGTCACAAGGACCCTGAGAGCCACGCGGCAGGTGCACGTGGATGTGGCTGCCCCAGACGCTTCGACGCTGAAAGCCCCGCGGGGGGCGGGGGGGAGGACGCCAAGGCTCCCATCTTGGACTGGAACACCAGCTAAACTTGGAACCCAAAGAACAAGCAGTCCTGATGCTGTGTGTGTGTGCTTTTCCCAAACCGCCTCTGCATTTGGTACATCGCTCTCTCTCTCTCTCTGTACACTTTTAGTCAAAGGAATTCTTGAAGAAGATGTTGACACACTTTGAAAACAGTTGCCATCTGTCACCTCTTGGGAGGGGGCTGTGTGCTGAGCGACGCCCTCTCCTGTCATCGCTGGAGGAAGCTTCCTGGAACATGCAGGGCAGAACCGTGGCTAAAGCAAGAAGACGAGGCAGGAAGGAGTGATGGAGAGCAGAATGATCTGGTAGGAACATAGTGCCTTGCTTCCGCCGAGCTGACCCCCCTGGGCATCCAGAGCCTTGTGCGTACATCGGGGCTCTCCGAGGTGGAGGTTACCTGGCAGTGAGGCCTGTGGGGCAGCTTGCTGCAGTGTTGGGGTCCCCACCAGCCTTTGTGGACCCACACTCAGGGAGTGTGCATAAGGTCAATCTCTATTCGCACTTTTTAAAGAATTATCTAATTTTTTATTTGAAAGGCAGAGTTAGAGAAGGGGAGACAGACATCTTCCATGTGCTGGCTTGCAAATAGCTGAAATGGCTGGGGATGAACTGATTCAAAGCTGTGAGCCAGGAGCTCGTTCTGGGTCTTCCCTCTGGGTGCAGGGGCCCAAGGGCTGGGACAATCCTCTGCTGCTTTCCCAAGCCATAGGCAGGGAGTTGCATAGGAAATGCAAGAGCCAGGACTATGGGATGCTGGTACCACAGGCAGAAACCTAACCAGGGTCATGGTGCCAGACCCTGTATTTGTACTTTTAAAATATTTTCGGAAATGTGGAGAGAAGGGCCGGTGTTTTGGTGTGGTGGGTAAAGCCGCCGTATGCAATGCCAACATCCCACATGGGCTCCAGTTCAAGTCCTGGCTGCTCCACTTCATATCCAACTCCCTGCTAACACACCAGGGAAAGCCGCAGAAGATGACCTTGCACCCAACTGGAGGATCCAGAAGCAGCTCCTGGCTTTGGCCGGGCTCAGTCCTGGACATTGCTGCAATAAAAAATCAGATAATGTCTACTTTATCAGCTTTGAAAAATGAAAGTACAACTTGCTTTGTGTTCCTCTGCACATATGTGAATTTTTTTTCAGGTTTATTTATTCATTTAAAAATTAGTGCAAGAGAAAGAGAGAAAGAGAGATCTTTTACCTGCTGGTTCAATCTCCAAATGGTCACAAGAGTTGAACCCAGACAAGCTAAAACAAGGAGCCAGACACTCCATTGGTCTCCCACAAGAGTGGCAGGGGCCCAAGTACTTGGAGCATCTTTCAATGCTATCTCAGGTGCAACAGCGGAGAGCTGGATCAGAAGTGGAGCAGCCAGGACTCAAACCAGTGCCCATTCTGGGGGCAGCATTATGAACTGGTGTCAGTTTAACCCAGGTGCGCGAGCTCTGTGCTGCTCTACAGTATACACCCACGATGAGATTGTGTGACTCTATTGAAAATATGCAAAACAATTGGATTCTTTCACTTTTTAATATATTTTGTACTTGAATGCAATTAAGTATTGCTTTTTTTGGGGGGGAGGGCTTGGAAGTTAAATACGCTATTTAAATCCCTGTCCAACAAGAACAGCAGTCAGCCCATCCAAGAAGAATCTGGAGTTTTGGATCATGTTCTTGTGGTTGAAAAGCTAATTGTGGAACAAACAGATATGTAAAGATAAGTTTCATATGGAAAAGAGTAGGGCAGCTCCTCAATAATTGAAAGCAGGATTACTGTTTGATCCATCCATATACCTGCAAGAATTCACCACAGGGTCTTGAAGGGGAGTTTGTGAACATGGCAGATGCTGACGGATCCTGACGGATGCTGACGGATGCCTGCAGTCATAGAACGTGGAGTATCTACACCACGGGGAGAGACTTAGCAAGGAAGGGATTTCCAACACAGCCTGCAACAAGGACTAACGTGGCAGGCATTATGGTAAGTGAAATCAGCCAGTTACAAAAGAACAGACACCACTTGATCTCACTTGAGATGAGATCTATAGACACACACAGTAGGCAGAGTGCAAGGGGAAGGGGGTGTGCTGTTCAACGGGCACAGAGGGCAAGCTCTTCGAAATGAGAACATTCTGGAGACTGACTCTGACACGGAATTTCAGGGAAGGCAGCAGGGCATGGTAGGTTAAGCTTGTGCCTGCGGTGCTGGTGCTCCATATGGGTGCCGGTTCAAGTCTTGGCTTGCTCCCCTTCCGATCCAGCTTTGTGTTCATGGATCCCTGCCATCCATTTTTGCAGTAGGAATGGAGTCTAGACCAGTTTACACCAGTCCCAGCCTGGTCTAGAGTGAACCGGCAGATGGAAAATTTTCTCATTATGTCTCTCCCTTTCTTTCTCTGTGTCACTCTGCCTTTCATGTAAAACAAAAAAAAAAGTTAGTTTTAATAATGGACATATGACTGTGTATGAAGAACTATACTTTAGTAATGACATAGGGGAACTCGGTTGAAGGGGAGATTGGGAAGGGGATAAGGGAAATCCCAGGGGCCTATGAACTGTATCATAAAATGATAATAATAATAATAATGGTAATACTTAATAAAGTTTTGTTTTAATCCATTTCTGGTGTGCCGACACAGTCGTGAGTATTGAGGCTGATTCGTGGGTCCTGAGCTTTCACACTTGAAACCGTCCCTCTAGATGCATGTGGCATCACCTCATTAGACATCCATGTGAGACCTGCAGGCCTCCCAAAGGCCGTGACCTCCCCCTGCTGCAGCCCCTCCTGCTTGTTGGTACTTGCAACCCCTCCTGCTTGCTCACACTTGCAGCCCCTCCTGCTCGCTCGCACTTGCAGCCCCTCCTGCTCTCTCGCACTTGCAGCCCCTCCTGCTCGCTCGCACTTGCAGCCCCTCCTGCTCGCTCACACTTGCAGCCCCTCCTGCTTGCTTGCACTGCTGTATTCTCCTGGGACAACTGTTTCCCACTGTTTCCCACTGGTGGCTCCAAGCCTGCAGGCCAAGGGGCAACTGCTTCTTGGAGCAAATGGTGGCTTGAAGCTGTCCTTCCCCTTCCACTTGCAGTAGCCATGGACGTGAGCGATGCTGTCTTCCAGTCCCACAGCACGGAGAGCAGAGTCAGAACACGTGGTGATCAGGGATGGCCTAAGAGGCTAGACAGACAGAGTCCTCCTACAAGACATCTCTTCCTGCCTGGGCCTGCCTTATCTGGGCATCACTTCCCGGGGCCGCTCTGCCTGGCTTTGCACGTACACACACACACACACACACACACACACACACACACACACACACACACACATACACACACACACCCCCCTTTAATGGCTATATCATAGTTCCAGGGTTGTTTATTCAGGGATGCAAGCATAATTCCCAAAACCTTCTCACAGAAAGTATTGTCCCTGAAGATCAAGATCCACCTGTAAGGATGCTCTCAGGTTCGGTGATGCATCCTAAATAAAAGAACTCCCCAAACAAACCCACATCATTGCTTATGGCAGACCAGGTTACTCCGGCTGGAGACTTCCCAGGCCAACAGCATCTGAGTGGCTGCATACACACCAGGGAGGAGACCACAGGACATGGGACCCCACACTGCAAACCTCTCACACCGCTTTGGGTCCAGTGCCTCCTACCACCTCCTGCCTGGGAATCTCAGGAGCCAGATCCCACTAAAATGCCATTGGGATTTCAATCTAGAGGCTAAACTAGACTTTCTAGGCTCAAACCTGGTTTTACCATCTACCAACTACATGAGCACAGGCAAGCACCCCAACCTCAGGCTTTTCCGTGTGAAGCAGGAATAATGTACCTACGCTTGACTGTTAAAACCAAATGAGCTA